ACAGTTATGAAGTAGCAATGAAAGTAATTTTATGGTTGGGGGTCACCACAACACGAGGAACTGTATTAAAGGGTCGCAGCATTAGGAAGGTTGAGAACCACTGCTTTAGCGAGAATAACTGGATTACTGTTTCCGTGGGGGTAAGGCAGGGGAGGTTGAGGTGGTGGGGCTGGGACGCTAATAATGAAGAGTACAAGAAGAAAGTAACTGTTCTAACATGGATTGTGGTGATGAGTGTACAGCTCTTCTTAATATGATTAAACTACTGAATTGTATGATTTGTGAATTATATGCCAATAAAACTTTTTTTAAAGAAACTCTGTTTCAAGGTTCCTCTATGTTGTAGTGGATCTTGTACTTCATTCCTTTTCTTATGACGGAATGATGTTTCAACTTGAGTCCATTCACTTACCCATGAACACGTGGGCTGTTTCTGCCTGTGGGCCATTGTGAACAGTGCTACAATGAACATCCGTGGGCATGCTTTTGTTTGCCTGCTTATCTTCAAGGCTTCTGGGTATAGAATTGCCGGGTTCCTCGGTCATCCAATGTTTAACGTTTAGAGGCCCCTCTCAACTGTTTTCCACAATGGCTACACATTCCCACTAACAATGGTCCAGTTTCTCCACATTCTCTTTCGGGTTTGTTAACTTTCTGTTGTTACTGTACCCTGGTAAATACTATCAACTGGTAGTTTCATTTGCATTTCCCTCATCAATGAATAGGTTGAACATCTTCTCCTGTGCTGGTTGGCCATTTGTGTTTCTTCTTTGGTGACATGTCTATGTGAACTCTTTGCCCATTCTGTCATGGAGTGCCTGGCCTTTTCTTGTTGAACCATAGCGGTTCTTTAAGTAGTCCAGATGCTAAATCTCTCTCAGATGTATGATATGCAAATAGTTCTCCCCTGGTGTGGCTTGCTTTTGCCAGTCTGTTGTCAGTGGGTGTCTTTTGGTGCACAAATATTTGAAAGCTTGGTGAAGTTGAATTTGTTTTCTTCTTTGTACAGTTGGTAGTACATCCATCAAGCCATTGTCAACCTAAGATTATAAAGATGTACCCCTCCATTTCCTAGCTTATTTGTTGCCGTTGTTGTTGTGTGCAATCCCATTGATTTCAACTTATGGCAACCTTGAATGACGGAGCAGAACTGGTCAGTAGGGTGTGTAGGCTGCCATCTTGACAGGAGCAGACCCCGGGAGTTCTCATCCACAGAGCTGCCAGTAGGTTTGCATCACCACCCTTTGGGTTAGCAGCCAAGCACTTACTGAATGCATTTTAATTTAGGCCTTTGGTCTATTTTCAGTTTTGGGTTTTTAAGGGGCTTTTTGGGGTACATGTTGTGCGATAAAGTCCAACCTGACTACTTTCTCAGTGGCTATCCAGTTGTCCTGCCACCTGTCTGTTGACGAGACTCTTCTTCGTTCTCATGGCATGTTCTTGGCACTCTGGTAAAAAATCAATTGGTCAGAGAGCTGTGGGTTTATAACTGGGCTCTCAATGCTATCCCATTGGTCTATGCACCAAGCCTATGCCAGTACCATACTGTTTGCATTACTGCAGCTTTACAGTAAGTTTTGCAATGGGAAAGAGCGAATCCTCCAACTGTGTCCTTTTTCAATATTAGTTGATCCCCTTGCAATCCCAAGTGAATATTAAGCTTAATTATTATCATTTCTGGGGGAATAGGCAATTGGGATTTTAATAGTGATTGTATTGAATCTGGAGATAACCCTGACATGTATTACTATGAAAAATATTATATTTTCTAATTTATGAACATAAGATGTTTCCATTTTTATAGCTCTTAAATTTCTTTCAGTAGTGTTTTGTAGTTTTCATTGTATAAATTTTTGCACCTCTGATTAAATTTATTCCTACATATTTTATTCTTTTTGATACTATTATGAATGTAATTGACTTTCTTAATTTCCTGTTTGAATTGCTAGTAAATAGAAATATAGCTGATATTTTTATGTCGATCCATTATTTTCCATCTTTGGTGAATTCGTTTATAGTTCCAATTTGTGTTGATTTTTGCTTTTAATGTGAAGGGGCTTTAAAAAGTTCATTAAAAATTGAAAGGAAGATAATTACATTTTTCCATTAGCTTTTGAATCCCCCTTGTATGTAAGATTATGCTACATAGAGATCATTTTAATTCTTCTTTCCTGTTTGGAGCCTTCAGTCTTGCCTGAGTCCATCCCTCTGGCTAGAATGTGCAGAGCAATGCTGAGTAGAAGTGGCAAGTGCCCCTCCTTGTCTTGCTCCTGTCATAAGCAGGAAGCCCTCAGCTTCTCGCCACTGGAAATCACGTGGCTGTGGGTTTTTCACAAATGCCCATTATTATGTTGAGGCAGTTTCTTTTGGTCCCTAGTTTGTTGAATAGTTTTATCAAGAAAGTGTTGGATTTTGTGAAAAGATTTTACTGAATCTTTTGGGATGAACATATGGTTTCTTTCCCTCCTTCTATTAATGATGAATATTTCTATGCTGGACCACTCTTTAAATCTTGGGATAAATCATACTTGGTCATGGTGTGTGATTTTTGTTATATGTTGCTGAATTCAGCTTACTCATATTTTGTTGAGGACTTTTACAACTACACTCATAAGGGACCAACCTCAAACTCACTGCCACTGAGTCAAGTCCGACTCCTGTCAATCTGATAGGACGAAGCAGAATTACCTACTGGGTTTCTGCAACTATATTTATTTACCGAAGCAGAAAGCCTCCTTTTTCTCCCTCATAGTGGCTGGTGCTTTTGAATGGCTGACCTTGTGGTTAGTGGCCGTGATTAGTGATTAGTAGCACTACTCCACCTGTAATATTGGTCTACAGTGTTCTTTTCTGTGTTGTCTTTGCCTGGCTTTGCAATTAGGGTTCCCTCCTCTTCTGTTGATGTTAATTCTTTAAATTTAAATATTTGGTAAAATTCACAAGTAAATTTATCTGGGCCTGGACTTTTGATTGATAGGTGTTTTATTACCGATTCAATTGCTTTGTTATCATTGATTTCAGATTGTCTATATATTCTTGGGTCAGTTTGGTCATTTATACATCTCTAGGAATTTGTCCTTTTCATCCAGGTAGACAATCTAGTTTGGGGGATACAATTACTCATTGTATTACCATAGGGTCCTTTTTATGCCTCTAAGGTCAAGAGTAAGACCCCACTTCTTTTATCAATTTAAGTCTCGTCTCTTTGGTTCTTCGTCACTCTAGCAAAAGGTTTTTCAATTCTGTTCATTTTTTTCCAGAGCCTTGTGGTTTCGTTGATGTTCTCTAAGACATTGCCATTCTCTGTTTGATTGACCTCTACTTTTGGTTTTGGTCTTTCCTTCCTTCTGCTACTTTTGTATTTATTCTGTTTGCTTCCTTGTTCTAGTTCTTTAAGGTGTAAGGTTATGATGTTGATTTGAGAACTTCTTTTAACTTATATGTGTTGCCCTTGGAGGGCTGCATTCCACAAGTTTGTTATGTAGTTTTCATTTCCATGTGCCTCAGAGCATTTTCTCATTTCTCTGGTGATTTCTCTTTGACCCATTCAGTTATTTAAGAGTACATTTTTAATTTTCACAAATTGGAGCTTTCCAATTTTCCTTGTTACTAATTTCTAATGTCATTCCATTGTGGTCAAAGAAGATCCTTTGTATGATTTCAATCTTTTTTGATATGTGAGCCTTACATATATTGCAATCTGAAGACTATTCTATGTACACTTGAGAAGATTGTATAGTCTGCTGTGACTGGGTAAAGTGCTTTGCACATGTCTGCTAGATCTAATTATTCTATTTTCCTACTGCATGTTTTGTCTACCTCTATCCATTATTGAAAGCAGTGTCTTAAAAACTCTAATTATTAGTATAGACTCGTTTACTTCTCCATTTCTGTTAGTCCTTGCTTTATATATCT